GGGTACCTCGGACACGTGTTGTCATTCAAAAATTATGTCCTCACAATTTATATGATATAAAGAGTAGAAAAATAGAAACATAAAATGTAAGAAAAATAAAAATAAAAAAATAAAAAATAATGTGTCGAAATTTGATTTTAGCATTTTAGTTTACAGTTTGGCTTGCTGCAAGCTTCTAAAAATGTTAATAACTCAAATACAAAAATGCCACTGTGAGTTTTTTCCTTTTCTTTTTTTTTATTTACTTTTTATAATGCCATTCAATTAAAAATAAAAAAGAAAAGAAAAGAGAAGATGGTGTTCCTAGCACTACAATATATAAGAGTCTTAGAGACCAAATTTGTTGATAAAAATTTTGTTACAAAAGACATTTAGGGATTAATTTCTATCATCGTGAGGATAGTTGCTAAAAGGTCATGCTGAAAAGTCAAAAATAAGGTTTTTAGCGACAAAATTTTGAAAATGTCACTAATAAATAAACTTTTAGAGACAAAATAATTTGATCTCAAAATGAGTGTCACACACTCGACTTGGTTTTTTATTTTTAATTCGGTTCGATAAATAAATTCGGTATGTTATTTATTTATTTTGTTTGAATTAGTTTCTATTTATTTTATTTACACAGAAGATTGTTCCAACACAAACAAAACATCACATCTAACCCATAATCATTACGCTCTTCTCTCACAAAAAAAGTCAAAAAAGCCAAAAAACCAAAAACCTTTCCCAGACCAAACTTTTTAGCCCAGGCTAAAATAGCCAAAAAAATCAAAAAGCCAAAAAGTCAATCCACTTCCCAAACGAAGCTTGTTTTTTTTTTTTTTATTATTGGTATAAACTTATGTATATAAATAAATTTTTTAAAGCAAAAAATTAAAATGTATATATTATCTGCACTCTATCCTGTTTGTGTATAAATGAGGTATAATTCTAAAAATTAATTATATATTCATGAAAAAGTTGATGACTTTAATAATTAAAATTTATAAATTTTATCATTATTCCAAAAAAGAAATTCAACTACACACGGAATGGTCATTTCCCCTTATGTAAATGCACATTCTGTCTTAGTAATACTAAGATAACATATTCACTTGTATTAAAGGCATCATAAACATAATTTTGTAAGAGGATTTAGGGCAAATTACATATACCTCATTCGAGATTTAGCTAAATTACAGATACCCTCTTGAGATTTCGGAAATTACAAATACCCCCTGAGGTTTATATTTTCATAACAAATTGCCCATTGAGGTTTATATTTTCATAACAATTTGCACTACTAGAAATATGACTTTTTGCGTCTATTTTTTTGCGACAGATTATTTAATGGTCACAAAAAATCATTTTTGAACATCAAAAACTTATTTTACCATCTCATTTTTCTGTCCCAATCGTGTTCTTCAAAAAATAAAAAAAAATAAAAATCAGTATTTATTTCCCAAATCTGAGCTCTCTTTCTCTCCCTCTCAATTCCCCCCTTTTTTTTTCCTTATTTCCCAAATCTGAGCTCTCTCTTTCTCTCCCTCTTAAAATCTGTCTCTCGCTCGAATCTCACAGCCTCTCTCGCTCGAATTTGTCGCTCGAATCTCTCGCTCAAATCTGTCGATCGATTCAACTTTCTCAATTCCACAGCTGTTGAAGATTTCATAATCGGTAAGCCTAAACACATCTTCATCGATTCAACTTTCTCTGTAATGATCCGAGAAATCAAGTGTGCTCTGAATTGCTCTCTCTCTCTTGTCTCAGTTTCTCTGTGAGATCAGAGAAATCTCTTCGAAGCATTCACTTCTTGTTCATCTTCACACCTTTTTCTCTGGACTTTTTTCGCTATTGTCGGGCTTTTGAAATCAAGGATGGCCTTGATCTAATCTGGGCATGCTTTAATTCCTCTTCTGGTTACCAAATACCCCAGGAACTTACCAGATCCAACTCCAAATGCGTACTTCGAGGCATTCAGGCGAAGCTGGTATGCCTTCAATATGTCAAAAACTTCTTTTAGGTCAGCTAAGTGATCTCCAGGTTCCTTACTCTTGACAACCATATTGTCTATATAGACTTCCACTGTCTTCCCAATTAGGTGCTTGAACATCCTGGTAACCAATCTTTGGTACGTTGCTCTTGCATTCTTCAGCCTAAAGAGCATTACCGTGTAGCAGTAAAGTCCCTTGGAGGTGAGGATTGCTATTGTGGACTTGCCTTTTTCCGCACCCAGCCTTTCGGAAAGGGTTGAAAGAAAGGCCTCACAGTTCGGACTCCCGCCGTTCTGAATCCAGTCTCACCAGTGCAATGTGAAACTGATAAGCACCAAAGAGTCCAATCCGGCAAATCTTTTTGGAAAATCAATTTTAAATCAAATAATGCCAAAATTAGACTACTTTGCCAGATTACATAGTCGCCACCTAAATATTTTGTTTTTGAAAAAATTTAGGAAACCCTGACTCGTGCCAAAGGCCATGTGTTCGTCATCACCAAAGTTGCCTCGGCTGGGGAACTTAGGTACGAAGGGGGAAGGTCATAAATTGAGCACCCCCGCTCGTTTGATCAATGATCGACCTCTACTAATCATAATATGTTCTTTTATAAACCTTATGTGTTCTTATTCCGATTATTAAACTAGCCTTACTATGTGACGCACACAAACAAGTATAGACTAGTCGCAAGATTTGGAACAATTCAACTCGTGTTTTGTTTTCGAAAATGGTTTGAAGTTGCCACCCTCAAGTGGGCTTAAAGATGCGGATTTTGCCACCAAACATAGTGGGCTTAAAACAAGATTTTCCACAACAAAGTGGGCTTAAAACATACATTTGTTGAATCGTTCCAAAGTGTTTGTCTAAGAAAATTGGGGTTTGGTTGCATAGGGGACTAAGAAGAGGTTCAGACTAATTGGCTAAATAACAAAATTGATAGGCTTTTGTTGATCCCTCCTCATAATTCTAGGCCAATCCAGACATAGGATATGATACGCAATGCAAAAAGAATAATAATCCTAGGACTAGTCCTAGGAATGCTAATTCCACCCAATCTAGTCCGCCCAAACAAACATGGCCTAAAATCTATCTCATATGAAATTGAAATATACCTGAGTTCTTGCAAGCTTGTTATCCCAACTAAACTAGGTTAGATTTCCCCAATTAGCAAAAGCTTTTCCATTTGGCCCAGTCACATAATTAAAATATGATTGATCCCCTGTAGCATGATAGAGCGACCTAGCCACCCACAAAAGATTATCTCCGTAACCTGTTGAATTGTAATAGTTCTGGACTTGGGGAATGCTCTCACTATAAGAACCTCTATAATTGTCGGCAAAACTAAACAACTGCTGTGCATACGTAAGAAGTGAGCTTGAATATGTGGAGTTGACCTGTGTCAGTGGCCTTTTTTCAGTCATGACCTCAGGCCTATCCCAACATTTATTGTCTATACACTACTAGAAATATGACTTTTTGCATCCAATTTTTTGCGACTGATTATTTAATGGTCACAAAAATACATTTTGGACATCAAAATCTTATTTTACCCTCTTATTTTCCTGAGCCAATCATTTTTGGACATCAAAATCTTATAAAACTTGACTCTCTTTCTCTCCTTCTCAATCCGCCCCCTTTTTTTCCCAAATCTGAGCTCTCTCTTTCTCTCCCTCTCAAAATCTGTCTTTCGCTCGACTCTCGCTCGAATCTCACTGCCTCTCTTGCTCGAATTTGTCGCTCGAATCTGTCGATCGATTCAACTTTCTCAAGTCCACAACTGTTGAAGATTTCATAATCGGTAAGCCTAAACACATTTTCATCAATTCAACTTTCTCTGTAATGATCCGAGAAATCAAGCGTGCTCTGAATTGCTCTCTCTCTCTCTCGTCTCAGTTTCTCTGTGAGATCAGAGAAATCTCTTCGAAGCATTCACTTCTTGTTCATGTTCACGCCTTTTTCGTTAACTTGTTGCTTATCCACTAATCTCACTACAATCTTCTCGATCGATCAGGTTGTTGTACAGAAAGTGAAGGAATCGGAGATTACCGAGCAGGACTCGCTTCTACTGGGTACAGTTCAGCTTTTGATTTTCATTTACAGATGATCATAGCAACCTATATATAAATTTCAAATCCGAATTATGATCCAGAGAGTTTGAATCTGAAATGATTTTTTTCTACATTTAGAATTAATTTCTCTAGTGTTGCAACCTAGATTTGAATTTCATTGTCTGCTTGTATTCATTGTTTGTGGATCAAATTCTAGAATTCTAATTTGAATTTATGGTTTTCTCACATTCAAAATCAGATCATTGCCTCAACATTGTTTAGTAGTTTTTTGTTGTTGAAAAATTTGTGATCTACAGAGGTCAGATCTGTCCCCATCTATGCTTTTTTTTTTTACTAAAAAAAACTCAACTGCTATAGAAGTATATACAAAAAATCTATTGTGGCTGGCAGCTAACCTGAAGGCCTCTGCTTTGAATTAGGAATTCCTGTTGAGCATGGCATCACAGTAGTGAGATTTAGCTTGATTCAGTTGTGTAAACTGTAATATAAATGTAATATGCTTGCTGTAGTTGATATCTTTTGTAGTACTTGGTCCAGACAGAGCAGGATTTTTCCATTTGAAAGAATTGATGAAGTGATCAAGTTTTCTTTTATGTTGATCGATATTCTTATAGTACTTTCAGGGAATTAATTTTTCAAGCCAATTTTTTGGGTCAACCTTTTTAGTGTGTGTCCATTTCAAATGCTAGTAGCCATGTGTTTAGATCATTTCAGGACAGCACAAAGAAACTTCTGTATTTTTTAGCCAAACAAATTGCGCACTGTGGATGGCTGTTACTATCCTAGTATTCAGTTTTCATTATTCACTTTTAATGACTTGCAGTTATCATGTAGGCATTATGCATCCGTGGCTCATCGATTTTAAGGCAAGTGAACGGGGTTCCAGCGAGCCGAGCATACATGATTATTTCAGTTAAGTAATAGTTCCAAAGTTTATATTAACAATTTAACATTTGACATATTCTGGGTTAGTCTTTGTTGGAATTGTGGATACAACATTACAAATCATGGCATATGGCACAAGAAACCAAACCTTTAATGGCACATGCCATGATTTGACCACAGAATCACTTTGGTTTGAGATCAAAGATATGTTTGACTAACATTTGATGTGTAAAGTGGTTCGAGTGTCCAATTTGACTGGCTTGTATACAACCGAGTAATCCTCGCAGCTCGTGGTATATACCTTTTCTATTACTTATATTAGTCTTATGTGAAAGGATGACTTAGATTGGTGTTGTGATATGTAATTCACCCTGCATTATTGTTCTTTGTAAATTGTACTCCATGGTGAAAAAGCTTTACAAAATTAAACTTGAATAATAGGTGACCATGCCTTTGTTGTGATGCATTATACATGCATTTTTGAGTCGAGACCAAGGATGTAGATATGGAATTGTGACTAACTAGGTCACAAAAGGAGACCTTAGGAGATGTTGGAAAACTTGATGGAGTTTTAACCTGGATAGAGCCCAATGGGCTCTAGAATTTGGCCTCATGAGATTGTTATGGACTAGTGGTATTCTTGTTACTTATCATGTAAGGTTTGATATCAGATGGTTTGGCCTCCTTACTGGTTGCATCAGCAAAGAAATGTTAGTTCTGTAGACTAGGACCAATCCTCTCCAGATATGCTGCAGTAAGAAGCAGCATCTCTATACACTTTGTTGATAAGAGTCTTCCTCTAAATCAATTGTCTAGGAACTGTAGACAATTGCTTGGAATGAATTAGTAGTTTCTGTGGGTGACCTACACTGTCAACTTATTTTAGGAAGTACCGTTTTCTTGTATCATCAGTCTTGCAGTCTCGGCATATTTTTCATGGTGGTTTATGTTTTACTTTTACATAGGATTGAAAGGATGCTAAGTGAGATGTTGAGTCACTTGGAGTGCCAACCAAGAAATAAGGAGCGCCGTCTAGCATGGCTTAAGCACAATGTGCAACTTTTCAATGTTGTGGGTCTTGTATTGCTAGCTCATTTCAGACGTATTTTTCCACTTTTTTTTTCAGTGGATGCATACTGATGACGATGAAACAATTTTGCTGGTAAGTAATTGCTCTTCCTTGCATGAATTATTGATTCCCTTTACTCTTGATAAGGTTTTTTGAAGTGATTGCCAATTTTAAAATTCAGTCACACTTGTGCTTAACTTTTGGTCAGGTTCTCCTTTTTGAGAATTCATACTGAAGTCTATTATGTTTACGCTGAATCCTGATTCTTTGTCATATAATGTACACTTGAGCAATATATTTGATGAGAGAATCTCATCAATCTATGGTACACTGCGGAAAGGCCTGTAATTTTTCTGTAATTATAAAATGAAGGCTTCTCATGGTGTTTATGTCTCATATTTTGAGAAAATACCCCTATCTATATTTAAATATCTATCTATACTATTATAAGATATATTTTGAGATATTTTTTTACAAATCATTAGCAGCCCCATCATTTATTGATGAGATCACACAGCGTGTGACACAAGACGTTGAGTCTAGGTTCACTACGACGATCAAGAACCTAGCAGCACGTGTTTTGTTCTTAGAGTCACATGGTGTGGCTGGGAGTATGAGCTTGAGAGAGGTGCAATACTTACAAATTAATGAATTTTATGTTTTTATCAATTTGTATATATACATATGGAAATTATTAACACATTATACTAACACTAGCGGTTGGGCACACACGATGTGTGTGCAAATTAAATAAATAGAAATAAAAGAAAATAATAATGAAATTAATATTATAATGTGTACTTAGCTTAAGTGGTATGAGTCCTCATACTTAAACCCATGGTCATGGGTTCAAGTCTTGCCTATCTCTTTGTTTAACTTTTTTTAAAAAAATAAAAAACACTGTCACATGGCATGAGGAGAGTAAAGCAAGCTTCAGGACACCATATTATGTGTTCACTTTATAATAGTATATATAGATAGATAGATAGATAGATATTGTAGGTGTCAGATGCATCTAGTGGGCAACAAGCTTCAAAAGAAAATGAATAGGTATGCCACTCTACTATATTTCTGCATATATTTATGATATTTGCTGTGTGTGAAGTTCTTGAAGGATATCACTATATTTCTTTAGACTGTAATCTGATTCAATTGCAAATGGATTTTCATCAGAGACATCATCTTCTTCTCCTTGTCTTTGTACATTCCATTCTTTTCCTCTCTTATCAGGTCCAATCTCTAGGTAATCTCTCTCTCTCTCTCTCTCTCTCTCTCTCTCTCTGTTATATGTATGTGTGTGTGCTGTTTGTTCAATTTGGATCCCTTATATTGTTCAAGTATCAGTGAATTTGTATCTGTTTTGAGAATGGGTCTTTTTCTTGGGATAGAAATAGATATGGCAAGATCTGAACAAAGTGATATGTATAAAGGGCATGCATGATTATATACTGATTTATCTAGTAAATGAGTAAGACATGTGTCCTATTGGAACTTAAACCCTGTCCATCCTGCTTTGGAGGTGCCAGGAGATACCACTCAAGCTAAGATAGGGTGAACTTTTTCACATCAGGATGGTACTTCAATTTGGCATGTTGTCTTTTTATTTATTTATTTAATTGAGGGTCAGTTGATCCCACTTGATTGGTACACAAAGCTTAGTTGGGTTGGGTTTGGCTATTTATTTGATTTAGGGTATTAATCTAGCAATTTCTTTGCGCTCAATACTTTTTTAGTAAATCCTTTTGACTAGATAACTTAATCATTGAACTATTACATTGCACTGGCTTCGCACTTTGGAATCTCTTAGTGTTAGGTCATTAAGTCTTCAACTAATTTAATTGCTATATAGATGGCGTATCTGTTAACTTTTTTTCCTTCAAAAGTTTTGACTTGTCAGTCAGCAAGATGAGATTCCATTACATGTTTTGGGATTAACTAGAACTCTTTCTGGTGATGTTTTTGGAGACCATTAACTCCTTGCTAAAGCAGGACATGGGGATATGGGTCAATCTCATGTGAGCCCTCTCTGTACCCAAAAAAAAAAAAAAAATGTTTGTAATTGTTAATCAGCAAAGTGAGGTTTTGTTGCTTGTTTTGCAATATATACTACAAGGATCTTCCATTTTTTTTAATGGAAACTGTCAATAAAGTCCTGCGCTTCCCATAAAAGTAAACCACTAACTCATATTAACAACACTGTGTTGATAGGGCTGAATCATATGTTAATAGGATTCAATAGTACTTTTATGGAAAAAGTAACTTATTGGGAATTTCCCCTTTTTTTAAATCATATTCATCATTTACCTAGAAAGCAAGTAACATGCATATGCATAAAGGGTATGCATGGTGCTTTTGGAGCATTCCCAGTCAGGGGTGCCTCAATACCTATGTGATTATGTGTCTAATATTTTTGGCTGCATTTTGGTAGATCCTTCTAGGTGGATACTTACATTATGTATCTTAAGTTAGCCTTAGGTGTGTGTTTAAAGCAGTAATACAGACAATGGGCTGAAATATTTCTCCTTTCGTGGTTTGATTTGAAGGAGCCTCTTGTTCATCGAATACCTAAACTGTTGCGAAAACCAGAAACATTTTTCTGTAGATTGAACCAGCCATTTTGTTACTTTCTGAAAAACAGGTTAAGTTGATTGCTTTTATGAATAGTTACAAATTAAGGAAAGGTCAGTATGTGTTGTGTATGAGCTTGATTGTTTGAATTATGTGCTTCTCCCATTGATGAAGAGAACCGTCTTCGGATTCAATCTTTTCATAGCATTTGTGTGAAGGACTGTGTTTGGTTAGTTGGTTTAAGATTTTTTATTTGTATGTTTTTCTTTCCCTTCTGTATTTCATTTTTGTGCCAAAGATATCTTCTTGCCTAGACTTCTAGTTTTTTATTCCATAGATGCATGAACAATGTTGTTGGTCTTATTTTTGCTCATCATTTTTCAAAATTTTACAGTATTCATTTTTGTAGGATTGCTTCTTCTAAAATGACAAAACTGAAGAAACTGAAGAATGACATTCCATTTCTTCCCGAGAAATCTTTTTTCGGATTCTGATTTTCCTTCGTGCAAAGTTTCTGCATAACTGTGGGAGATATGTGTGCAGGGCTTGGTCAAAAATTATATCCAGTAGTTTGGTATACCATATAATTCTGGTTATCTTGAGCTTAATGAGGGAGACTTCAAAATTACCTTGAGCTTAATTTTGGTATGCCATATAATTCTAGTTACCCTGTTCTGGACAAATGGTCTCTAGTTGTAGGGGTTTATCACTGTTTTGTAGCTCACATCCTAAATGATTTCTTTATGTTGGGAATCATGTGACAATGCAGTATAAAAGCTTACCTTTTTCAATTGTGGAGAAGGAGCTTTTCCCCTCGTCATATCGCTTTCATTTCTTGCACTGGGGAGTACAAGGTGTTATGCCAGTTCATTGATAGAGTGGAGAAACACCCGATGAAGAAAATTGATAAGAAGATTGGCCAGTTCTGGATTGTATTTTTTTCATAAAAGAACTTTTCCCAAGCTTTTAGTTGTAATAACTTTTACATATGGCTCAAATTTTGAGACTCAAATAGAATGTTCAATCAAACTGTAATTCTATACTGTCTGAATTCTTGTCATTGTTATTCCTAGAGTGCTTAACGCTACACTTTTATTTATTTATTTATTTTTATTTTTATTTTTATTTTTTGCGACGGTAACAAGATGGTCGCTAAAGATCATATTAGTGTTTTTCTTTGTTTTTTGCAACGGCAAAATAGCGGTCGCCATAAGTAGTTTAGGTGGTCACAAATAATTTGCGATCGTTGTTTTGCCGTCGCAAAAAGTCTTTTGCGACTATTTTTTATTATTTGCGACAGTTTATAGTGGTCGCAAAAAGCGTTTTTTTTAGTAGTGATATCTGGATCACCCACCTATTCCAGAAATAAAACAGTGATTAGAAGAAGAAAAAAAAACAAAACAAAAACAAAAAAAATAGCACTCACTCTTACAATCAAAATGCATCAATGTTTGACCATTTGATTCACTTGTGCAAACTCTATCAAACATGATATACTAAGTATGACCCATTTGTAGCGCACACAAAAAAAGAAAAAAAGTATTCAAACTGTAGTATTTCATGTCCAAGATAACATATTTCAATTATTACTATTTTGACACAAGAGAAGCTAAAACACATATCTAGATACTTTCAAGGATTCTTCATATACTTCTAAAGAAAAACAAAATGAAAACACTACTTATCGTGTTAGCATTTCAGAAAATTTGACATAGCCATTCCCAAAAATAGATAAATAAATTTAACCTTGATTGCACCTAATCATGGCCAACATATTGCACTACATATTTCAAAAATCATGAAAATGCTTTAAAATGTAGCAATGTGACAGGTAATAAGGAAGAAGGACAAAAAGATGACCATAAACAAGTGCACATGCAGGCTCACAAATAGATAAGAGCAATTTATAGGAATCAAAGATTAGAGAGACATGAATATAAAGCACATTGTTTGAAGCATGAGCATTAATAAGGTAGTCCGTGATCCACTTAAGTGAGTCTTGAGCAGGTTTGAACTGATTAACCGTTTGCATCTGATCCCCATATTCGAGGATTGCCCATGACAACACTGTGGCAGTAAAAGCCATTGGAAATCCAAACTTCATATGATCTCCTACGTCATACATTCCTTTTAAAAGATCCAACTTTGCGTCACTGCCATCATCAACTGCCGAATCCCCTCTCCAAGATATGTTATTATTTACCAACTTACTAGCTACAAGATCAAAATTGCGTTTGTACCCACAATCAAAATCTATACAAGACAATTGAAAAAACAAGAAGTCCAAAATAACATTTGCAACCACAATCAAAATCTATAGAAGACAATTTGTCCAGAACTCTCCCCGGTCAGTTAGACCTTTGCTGATTTGGGATTCAGCTCATTGCGGCTCCCCTTGAGGAGCAGTGTCTTACTTTGTTCTTTTTTCTTACCAAAAAAAACATCATACAAATATCCCATTTAAAATGAAATGGCAACCATCTCCCCAATCTTAAGTATAAATAAATAAATAACTACCATCTTCATATTAACTTAAAGTCTTAAACAAGTACTCATTCCAGGTCAGTTAGTGTGGCTCTTGGTAGATACAGATAAATACTAAGAAAAGCATCAAATGACACAAAATTAGAGTCATCACCATGAATAGCTAATTAATAACCAAAAGACAAGTTATGAACTATACACCTACATTGATGTATCGACAGACATTACAACAAAAAAACCACACAAAGAGAAGCTGAAATCCATAAAATCTGTCTACAATATTCTAATAAAGAGTTCAAAGGCAAAACAATTTGAAACTATTTTACCCAAAAAAAAAAAATTTTTTTTGAGGTATAGAATTTGGATCTGGAATGGAACAAAACCCACATTGTAGAATCTATGAAACAGAACAAACAGTGGAGAGAGAAGAAGAGGATGAGAAAAATTACATTTTTGGACATCAAAGAACTGCATTGCAAGATTGAGAGCATTGCCGTATTGCCTATCAACAACACCATGAGGCCCAGGAACAGGACCCAACAGAGGCAGAGAGTGTTTGTTAGTCTTCCTTTTCACGGTAAGAACAACTGCAATCACAATGCAAGCCACTAAAACTAAGACAAGGAACCACCCGCATAGTCATTTCGACTTGGAACACTCCCCCATTTGATTTCACCAACAAAGAATGTGAAAATTCAAGATCTAACTCAAACCCAGATCAAATTTTCAATAACCAGAGCAACAGAGCAAGTTGCAAAAGCAATGTTTTACTATTTTATCGAAATGAAATAGGGTTTTGGAGCTTCATAGGGCAATATAGCAAAAAAAGAGTAGTGATTTGAATCAAGAAAGGATGAGAATGGAATTGAAGAGTTGGATCTGAACAATGCGATGAAGATCGGAACTGATCAAAGAAGAAGAAGACGATGATGAACTCTGTTTTCTGCGGAGATAAACTGAGAGGAGAGAGATGTACTCCTTCATCTTCACGAATTTTTCTTGTAGTGTCTGAAGCATGAGCATTAATAAGGTAGTCCGTGATCCACTTAAGTGAGTCTTGAACAGGTTTGAACTGATTAACCGTTTGCATCTGATCCCCATATTCGAGGATTGCCCATGACAACACTGTGGCAGTAAAAGCCATTGGAAATCCAAACTTCATATGATCTCCTACGTCATACATTCCTTTTAAAAGATCCAACTTTACCAACTTACCAGCTACAAGATCAAAATTGCGTTTGTACCCACAATCAAAATCTATACAAGACAATTGAAAAAACAAGAAGTCCAAAATAACATTTGCAACCACAATCAAAATCTATAGAAGACAATTTGTCCAGAACTCTCCCCGGTCGGTTAGACCTTTGCTGATTTGGGATTCAGCTCATTGTAACTCCCCTTGAGGAGCAGTGTCTTAGTTTGTTCTTTTTTCTTACCAAAAAAAACATCATACAAATATCCCATTTAAAATGAAATGGCAACCATCTCCCTAATCTTAAGTATAAATAAATAAATAACTACCATCTTTATATTAACTTAAAAAGTCTTAAACAAGTACTCATTCCAGGTCAGTTAGTGTGGCTCTTGGTAGATACAGATAAATACTAAGAAAAGCATCAAATGACACAAAAATAGAGTCATCACCATGAATAGCTAATTAATAACCAAAAGACAAGTTATGAACTATACACCTACATTGATGTATCTACAGACATTACAACAAAAAAACCACACAAAGAGAAGCTGAAATCCATAAAATCTGTCTACAATATTCTAATAAAGAGTTCAAAGGCAAAACAATTTGAAACTATTTTACCCCAAATTTTTTTTTTTTTTTTCAAGTATAGAATTTAGATCTGGAATGGAACAAAACCCACATTGTAGAATCTATGAAACAGAACAAACAGTGGAGAGAGAAGAAGAGGATGAGAAAAATTACATTTTTGGACATAAAAGAACTGCATTGCAAGATTGAGAGCATTGCCGTATTGCCTATCAACAACACCATGAGGCCCAGGAACAGGACCCAACTGAGGCAGAGAGTGTTTGTTAGTCTTCCTTTTCACGGTAAGAACAACTGCAATCACAATGCAAGCCACTAAAACTAAGACAAGGAACCACCTGCATAGTCCTTTCGACTTGGAACGCTCCCCCATTTGATTTCACCAACAAAGAATGTGAAAATTCAAGATCTAACTCAAACCCAGATCAAATTTTCAATAACCAGAGCAACAGAGCAAGTTGCAAAAGCAATGTTTTACTATTTTATCGAAATGAAACAGGGTTTTGGGGCTTCATAGGGCAATATAGCAGAAAAAGATTAGTGATTTGAATCAAGAAAGGATGAGAATGGAATTGAAGAGTTGGATCTGAACAATGCGATGAAGATCGGAACTGATCAAAGAAGAAGAAGACGATGATGAACTCTGTTTTCTGCGGAGATAAACTGAGAGGAGAGAGATGTACTCCTTCATCTTCACTGACTACTAGAAGCTCCGTAGATAGGAACTAAGGCCACGTTTGTTTCGCTGATTAGAGTGTAGGTTTGGAGTAGTAGTGAAGTGGGGTTCACAATAACGTGTTTGTTTGCTTTCTTATTGAGTGGGACTGCCAGTCCACCTGGAGTATTACTCCTACACCCTAGCCGGATTATCTTTTCCTCAGATGTGCTGGGATTGAAAAATCAATCTCCTGGCTAAGAGATTGGAATACACTATTGCCCTCAATTCTTGCCTATATATATGTGTGTGTGTGTGTGTGTGTTTGGCAACAAGGAAATAGCGGGAAAAACACATATGTGGCGGCAAGGAAACGGCGAGAAATCTTGGCCAACGAGAACATCAGATTAACAACCAACTACGATAATACCTGATTTTGTAAAAGAATTATCTTTTATTCTCTTCTCTATTGATATACATGTGATGGTTAGGGTTTTTTTTTTTTTACTGGTTGATGTTTCAATGGTTTGTGGGTTGATGGAGTGTATATTGCAATTATGAGTCCAATTTTTGAGATTTTTGAAGGATTTATTTCAAGAGGTACCGATTATAAATGCCTCTCTCCCTCTTTCTCCCTTCAAGAGGTACCGATTGTGCTTCTACTTCTACTTGTGATTATTATTATTATTTTTTGTAAACAACAAATGTATATATTTTGTTTAAAAAACATGGGGTAAGTTCATCCTCAATTTTGTTCTAGAAACTCTCTGTAATGGTTTTTGGAAGATGTGGCTTTTATTCTTCTTTTTGATATATGTTTAAATATTTTACTTGATTGTGTCAATTTTTCAGTATTTGTTATGGGTTGCACCTGGTTCTGTTATACGTTTTCTACAATTGTAAGTTTATTTTCTATATTCTTTTATATTGGTTAGTAATGGAAGATTAATTGGTGCATGCTTGCAGTTTGTATGTTTATCAAAAACAGTGTGGGTTTGATATCATTAAATATTTCTTTCACTTTAGTTGAGTTTGATGGGTGAGAGAAGCTGGAGTTTCCATCAGTGGCATGTTGATTTTGTGTTCTCTTTTACATAATCAAAATTCTT